CGCCAGTCACCACACTGCCAGCGTGCTGATGGTAGTTTTCTGAGTGTAGCGTCTTGAGGCTTTTATGGGGAAATGGAATTCTTGTGGGTGACAGCGTTAAAGTTGGTGGCGTCAATAGTTTCAGTGGACTTTTCCTGTTTAGTTGCAACACCAATCAACTTGACTAGCTAGTTTTTCCCTATTCTGGTTATCTTTTTTTCTTTTTTCATGGTCAAGTTCTCAATATTTCTGACAAGCAATCCAAATTCCACGATCCCCTCCGTCTACGGAGCTTTTGAAGCCTTCAAGCAGCCAGAATGCCAAATTGGCGATGATATACGGCGTCAGATGATGCTACAGGACAATCGTAAGTGGCTGCCATCAAATTTCAAGCAAAAGAGGAAATTGATTGCCTGGGTAGTCTCCAATATGAATGCGGAGAATCGTCGAAAACTGATTGCGGCTCGGCTACGGCGATGGGTTCCCGTAAGATCTTTGGCCAGACCTTTACCATCTGTCATTACCTCACCTTTCCCATGCCTGACTCTCACACTTTTCTATTGATAGATGAAAGAATTCGAGTTGCCGGCTTATGCAATTGATATCACATAGCCAAAGCTTCAGCTAATGTCGTATTGTTTCAGCTTTACGCTGCTTTCCCTGTTCCCTTTAAGTTTAATTCGTGGCCGCTGTGTAGGGCACAGATAACAGATTGAGCCAACGAGTCACTCTATCGAGGTGTATGTATACTCGTTTATTCGTGGACTGTAATTGTTCTTGTTTAAGCTGTACAGTACGGCTCCGAATTCGTGCGACATGCTGATATTTGTGAAAGATTGATACTCACTCGCTAATCAGCATGTATTAAGGATGTAATACTGATTATTGCTTAGCCTATTCTCAAGTCATTTCATTCACGATAGGATGCCAACTTTTTAACAAGCTTCTTTCTGAGCGCTTATATGATATTTTTGACGATTTTGAGGTGTTCATTAATAATACACGGTATCTTTAAATGAATGAATGTTGCATATAACATAAACAGCATGATCCACATCTTTTGCAATATTTTATGAGAATCCTGAGACTACTTCCTCAAACCGTAGGCAAAAACATACTTTTCCTTAAATTTTTAATTCAGGTGTATCAGTCGGTAGGTTTCAAAATTATTCGGCATTTTAGAAATTTTTTAAAGAATATCCCCTCTTAAAGCATAACATTTAAAGGAAGCGTAATTTGCTAGCAAAAGAGTACAAGAAAGAATTCTTTTCATGCATATTTTCCATAAAGTGTATTTGAATTTATAAAGGCAGTAACAATAAATGATAAGGTGCATACTATCTAAGGAGCCACTTTTTAAAATTACATACTATTTGCTAGCAGTCAGAAGGAAGCTTGTAAAAAATTTTGGCTTCCTATCATGACTTAAATGACTTGAGAATGGGCTACGCAACCATCAGTATTACAATCTTTCTTAATACCGATTATCGAAAGAGTGTCAGTCATCCGTAAATGTCGGCAGGTTGCGCGAATCTGGAGCCGTACTGTGATTATCTCTGATCTAGCCGGTCTCGCTGATGTCGCAGATGGTGCCTTTCCACTTGTGACGATCTGCGGCAGTGAGCTAGAACAATTCGGCCCATTCTGTTCTCCAACAACGTAGTCCGAACACCGAAGATTCCAGAACTGCTTCCAAGTTATGACGAACTGCGAAGAGCCAGGTTTTAAGGTGTTATCCTCCTCGATGCCTTTAGGTGATTAATGAGGCCGGATCGAGAGTACCAACACGGAGCGCCTGAGGTGGACGACGAAGAGCGTCTTTCTTGGATAGCCCGGGCTATCCTTGGTAGGTTGTCACAGCGAGTGTGGAGTTGGTGTGCTTAAGAGACAGGATGAAGGATAGGCCTTAAGCAGCGGTGTTTA